TTAAACATCGCCCGAAAACTAGAATTAAACACACAAACATGTTGAAAATTAATTTGGATTCAAGTTTTAAAATTATTATTTAATTATTTAAAACAATCATTAATATCTATCATTTAAATGGAAAAAAATCCGTAATTTATTTTTATAACAATAGTGCCATTACTGTTCACATGTACAGTGCACGTGTTTTTTTATTTTTATTTTTTTGAATCTACGGGAAACTAGAACCTTGCCTCTAATACCAAATTATAACAACACAAAATTTCATAAACACTGAAGTATTACCAAAAATTAAATGTTCTTTACGTTAAAATTGAAAACATTACAAATAAAAATATAACTTTATTTTCAACGATAAATATCAACTAAAACGTGGAATCTGAAATTTTTATAAAAAAATTATATATAATTAGTTAACTAGTTAATAAACGTATTTTTGAACAAATAAAATTAACTCATGAAAGATAGAAAAAACTTAATATTTTTATTTCTTCAATTCATCGGCAGTCTGTATCACAATCCCACCACAATTCCACTCTACCCGAACTAATCTTTAAAATTTTGTAAAAGTGAGTATTTAAAAATACCCAAAAAGATACGTGTGACTCCCATACACAATTATATAGCAACAAAATAGATATTTCATACCACTCTTCTATTATAGAGTATATCGGTGATCAAAGGACACACCCATTTTAGGTCATTTTGAATTTTCGAAAGATTTCACATCTCTTAATAAAGAACCCGAAACAATTTATGAATAAATTACTGAATATAATAGTATGTGGAAACAAACCGTTTGCATAAAAGTATCTTATCTTGATAGATTTGAAAAGTTGTGAATGAATATAAAATAATACACGTGAAAACCCTTTTCCTATGTTTCTCTCTCTACCTTGACTCTCTCTCATAGTGTCTATGTATAAATATTTTGTGGTGAAAATTCTATTGACTTGTGGGAGTATTTATAGATCTATAATCTAATATTTCAATTGTATTTCATTGCAATAAAGAGATGTGGCCGTGTCTAGTCAATGGATTTGTATAGAATAGGTTTCCTAGTGGAGGTTATTATTCTAATCCCAATGAGTAACAGTACGACAACTTTTTAATTCAAATACAAATCTAATCAAATAAAAAGGTTATTCTGTATCCATCATTTGATACACGTGGCTAGCCCTCATCCAAATTAAATTTAATTAAAAACTAATAAATGATAATTTCTTTAAATTTCAATAATTTGAGACTAACTTATTCGGAATAATTTTTTCTCGAGTCAAAGACTTTTAATTAATTGCAAGTTACAAAAAGAGTTCAACAGTGATATACTTAATAAAAAAAAAAGGAATTTAATACATATTTAACTTTAGACCCTCAACATTTCACTATTATCAAATTATGCTTAGATCAAAATCCTTACAACTAAATAATTCTTTACTTTAAAATTTTGAGACGTTACAAGTACTGCTTCATAAACTGGTGTTAAACACCAATGGTGCTAAATAGCACTATCTTAAATTAATGAATTATTGCCCACAAATTTTAATTTTAATTTCCCACAAAATCTTTACTTTCAACCATGACTTTCAACAAAGTATGAAAACTCATATGTTACAATTGTATTAGTGTATTGATTTATTTTCATTAATGTTGTGTTGTTTTGAGATAAAAAAAATTAAATTTTAATTTTTCACTTCACAATACAAAACGTCTGAATCCGCCCTGCCCGTACACTAACGTGTCTTACATTTTTTGTCCATCCCCTACCCAAATATATCAATATAAGTTAATTGACTCGATCCGTTCAGCCACCGCTCCCACCTCAGAAGAAGGTCATGTGTTTCTGGCAGTTTGTTCAAATGTGTAGGAGTCATACTCATGAACGTGAGTGGAGCTTGAATTTATTGACCATGTCACCCATGTAGAAACCAATATCAACATAACCTATAATATTTTACATGTACATTTAAAGCCAAATAAAAGATCTAGTTGGATCTCCTAGAAATTAACTTATAATTTTACTTAAATCTAAAAACAAGAAATCATTTAACCCATAAAGTTGCCTTTGAGGCGTAGCTGTCAATCCCTTTATAGATTTAGCTTCAACTTCCAATTTTTTTTTTCCTTGATCTTCTTGAAGACATGAATTGAGATATATATTTTAAACCAATTAATCGATTTAAAATTAGAAAAATCTGATTAAGTTCTAAAGTATAGTTCTCGTGGGAATGATAATTCAGATTCAAAGTTCTACTATATTACTTGTTATGATATCGTACACTTGTGATAAAAAAACGTAACATATGCATACTGTGAAGGAATCATCACCGACTTAAGGAAAAAAAAAATATATGATTTGCAACAATCTTCACTAAACCGACATAATACAAAAATCTGGAGAAATCTTTGTTGAAGTCCACCGCTAACTCGAGAAAATCTGGAATTATGAACCCATTCCATTGCCATAATCGCCCCTATATATATAAGCGAGAAAGACTGAGAGAGACTTAAATGCAGAAGTGCTCTGAGAGAAAAACTTGAGCAAGTTGAATAATAGTTAGTGGTTGAGTAAGTGTAGAGAGAGAGAGAGGTTACTGCAAAGTGAATTGTTAGTGTAGTGTGAAGTCTTTTTCCATTTAATCGTTGGATCTTTTGTGATAGTGATTTGTGCTTTTGTTCAATCTGTGGATTTTTTTCTGTATGAATTTTCGCATTTGTATCTTTAAATATTAAATAGGAGTTATATTTTTTGTGGTATATGGATGATGATGGTGGAATGTATAAATATATCGGTGAATAATAGATAAAATATTTACATAATTTTACTCATGATAGTTTAAATAAGAAAATTGTGGGAGTATCAATAATCACAGCCCTAACACTGGGCGGGGTACACGATCGTCTAATGCCCCGCTTTGGTAAGGGCTCCAGTTTTTCTATTATTATTTTATAATTATAAATAATAAATAAAATTTCTCATAAAAATGTTTTACATTATTAGACTTTGTAATATGGCAGTTTTTTGTATAAAAGTTAATGTTTTGTGAAATTGTACAATGCATATATATTGATTTCATCTTCTACAAAGCAATGATTCTTTTGTTTTTTAATTTTTTCATAATAATGTGAAAGATCTAAAACTTAAGTCACTATCACAAATACATTAAGAACGCTAAATTGAAAGTATTAAAGTAATGAGATTTTAATCAATAGAAATAAAAATCGCTTTAAAACACTTAGCAGAAATATGTGATGACGTTAAGACATTTAGAGATGCTAATGTATCTTATGACATTATGAATATTGTGTTCTTATTTTGTATGATTGTTTGATATAATATATTGTGTGCTATCAATAGAGTAAAAAGAATAATATAAAATGAGGACATGTATATTGGTACTCTATTAGTAACTTTAAAGAACTTATTTTATTTTTTTAAATATATCGAAAAATTGAATTTGAATAAGACAAGATTATTCTTAAAGAAATCCCTGCTCAAGTGGAAGTTAAACTTATATTGAATGTATATTATCCATATAAAAAAGTACTTTGATCAAAATGTTAATGATGAGATAAACCATTATGCAAAATCTTTTAGCATTTATTATTAATTATTTATAGTTGATTAAGCTCTTTCTTCACCTAATGTTTGAACAATTTTAAACATATGAAAACACTTTTGAGTTTCTATTTGATTTTAAAAAATTACAAATTGCAGATGATAATTGTTTGAAGTGTTGATGCAAGTTTATTTAATCATAACAAGGACTATGATATTGATAAGCACCAGTTTATTTTCCGAGTTGTAAATTGTTAATAACTAATTACGAGAAGACACCAAAAAGGTGATTGAAGTTTTAGGCTCTATAATGCTGGTTGTTTTCCAAATATGTGGATTGCACATAAAATATTCCTGAGATATTAGTTACAGTTGCATTTGTTGAGAGAACCCACTCAAAGTTGGATAAAATTCTACTTTTGGTCAACAAAGTAACAAAAAGGGTCGAATGAATTGATTATAGTGTATAAAAAAAACGTTTTAAGACAGATTGATTGTAATAGTATAATTTTTGATTTTTTTATAAAAAAATATAGAAAAATAAATTTAATCTTAGACATTCGAAAGTTTGATTATTATAGGGGGTATATATTTGAAATTGGTCTAAGACCTCCAAAATCTCAAGGTCGGTCATGTGTACCAAACACTTATTGTGGTGGTAACAGAACAAATCATTTTTATTTTTTTTTAGAGGGAACAAATATATAAGAATAACGACTTCCTTTAAGTTTTACTTAAAGATGAAAACTAATTTTAAGAGATTTTCTCAAAAACCCCCACCTTTGTGCATCCAAACTCTAGAATCTTAAGTTGTTCGCCCTTAAGAGCCCTTAATAATAATAATAATAATAGGATAAGGGTTACATATGTTTGGTATTATTTTACTCTGACCCTCACTAAAATATCTTGTGCAACTTAATCTCAGCCAATTATAAGGATTATAATTTGGTCCTTATATTCTCATGACGTCTGGAGTCAAAAGAGGAACTCGATATTCAATTGATTCTAGCTCTAATAAGTCAAATCCCAATTTAGTTACTCTTGACAATTTGAGGTTTAGAACAAAGCTGAACAAAAAAGGTCACCGACAGTGACTCTTTCTAGGGAATGAAGTGGCAATTTTTGATTGGCAGTTTTTTCTTTAATTTTTTTTACCTGCCAATGAGAAAATGCCAAGTGTATGTGTGTATAAATTCCTGTAATTTAATCCGTTCACGTAGCAGAAATGTACTTAATGATATACTCAAAACTATCCAATCATAATATCTCCTATTATCTTGTCAACAAGTCATTCTCATATGAACATCAAGCTTTATCCACTTGCACAACTGCCAAACATGTGCTCACAATTTGTTTTATTTAAAGCTTAGCCAAACATGCTTTCAGTCTAGTCTAATCGATCAAGTGTTTTAGCCTTAAAACACTCGAGATATAAAAAACTCTAGGATTTGATAAAAGACTTAGAAGACTGCAAGGAGACTCATCAGTAAAAACATAATCGGAAGATATAATGTTTGGTAAGTGAAAATACAATTTATTGTTGGTATATATTTACTTCCAAATTAACAATATCCTTGCAAATTCTATATAAAATGCATAAAGGTAAGTACAAGAATAGCCTTGTCACCACATGATATAACATTGGAAATCCAAATATGTTGTCTAAATGTACTTTTTGGGCAGAAGAAGAAGTGCATTTTTCTTGTGCATGGTGAGTCCTGGCAGGACATCAGTGTCAATATCTTCCACCTTCTTCCCATAAGGCAGTTCCCAATCAAAGGTATACAAAAGATTTGCAAGTGCAAGCTCCAATGATATTAGCCCCATTGACATTCCGGGACACCCCCTACGGCCTCCTCCGAATGGAATCATTGCAAAATCTTCCTCTTTTTTACTGTTAATGAATCTTTCAGGCAAGAAAGTATCTGGATTTTGCCATGTTTCAGCATCTCTTGAAATGGCCCAGCCGTTTATAAAAATCCGAGTACCCGGTTGAATTTTGTAGCCATTAATTGTACTGCAATGGCCTTCAGTTGTTTCCTTTCGAAATATGAGTGGAGCTGGTGGATACAGCCTCAGAGTCTCCATAATAACTGCTTTTAGATATGGAAGCTTCTTTATATCTTCTTCACTGACAGTCCCGTTTTCTCCAATTAAATTCCTGATTTCTGTTTGTGCTTCTTTCATTATACAAGGTCTCATCATTAGAGCTGTCATAGTCCACACTATTGAAGCAGCCACTGTGTCTGTTCCTGCAACAAATAGATCCTACAGAAGAACAAAGACGAGATATATTTTTTAATATGTGATAAATAGTTTTTGCAGAATATCTTCTAAACAGCTAGTCTCATTCATCCTCCACTCATATCTCGTGGGGTATATGTAGCATCTATAAAATTGCATTATTATGCAGTAGGAAAACGAGTATCATGAATTTTTACAATAAAGAAAGTGACTACCATGAGTAGGGCTTTGATGTGATCCCAAGTTAGATTGATTGAAGATGAGTTTTGGTCTTTCAATATAAGCAAGAGATCAAGAATGTCATTCTCTTTAGGCCTGGATGGATTGAGGTGATGGTCGATGAGTTCTTGGTAGAACAAATCTAACTCCTTGCAGTTCTTCTCAAGACGATCTGATTTTTTCGTGAATTTATCAAGCCAACCTAATAATGGAAAATAATCAGAGAAATAGAATCCCACCATCAGGGCTTGAGCTTCCATTACAAGTCTTTCAAACCTTTTCTTTTCAAATTCTTCATCGTCATATCTCCTACCAAACGCAACTCTACAGATTAAGTTGCTAGCTAGAGACATCGCTATCTTGCTTAAGTTTACTAATTCTGACGAAAAAGCAAGCTTTGAAATCTTGTTTACCATGTGGGAAACTTCATCTTCACGAATGGGGCGAAACGACAGAACTTGCTTGTGGCTAAAGAGATGATGGACACATATTTTTCTCATCTCCTTCCAGTGCTCATTATAAGGTGAGAAAGCAATATCCAAGCCATCGTAGGAAAGCTTTTGCTGTCCAAGAACTTGTGGCCTACTACAGAATACAAAATCTTGGTTTTGAAGAAATTCTTTGGCCATTTTTGCAGTAGAAACCACAAGTACTGGCATTGAACCAAGTTTCAAATAGGCCAACGGGCCATACTTTTGGGATAGTTTCCATAAGTACAGGTGAGGCTTGGCTTTGTCAAACTGGTGCAAATTTCCTATGAAAGGAAGCCCTAAAGGACCAGGTGGATGTATGGATTTTCTACTGATTTGCTTAGTAAGAATAAAAGGGAGTAGCATGAGAGAGAGAATGGCTAGGAGAAGAAAATACATTTTGTTGATGGAAACCAGGTTGTCTTGTCCTTACAATACGTAAGTTGTAATGGAACTGGCTTTTATAGACTAAAACATGTGAAAGCACATTCATATTGTGGAATGAAAAAGGCTGTTTGTACAGTGAATTACACAGCCCACACACATGGGGTGGGGCCCACATTTGACTAAAACATGTGAAAGCACATTCATATTGTGGAATCAAAAAGGCTGTTTGTACAGCCTTTTTGTACAGTGAATTANATAGCAAAGTTCTTGTGGAATAGAGATAAACACGTCTGACAAACATACTTTTAGTTTTGACGAGGTACCCAAGCATGAAAAATGCTATGTCTAGTTTTCAAAATGAACCAGTAATAAGCAATGCACTGACTCCAACTAGAGAATTAATCCTACTTACCACAATTTTCAGTGCACCAAGCACGAGTGGGTACTCCTAGGACTTGAGAGTAAGACCCTTTTTGTTTCGGATTAAAATCAGATTTTAATCTAAGTTGAAATTTACGCAGTTCGACCCCAACAATACCTAGAGGGAGGTGAGTATGTATATTATATGGAATTAAAAATATTTTACGAATTAAACAACAACAAGTCACTTTTTAATTCTTCTCTAAATGATTAAACATGCAAGTCATTTTAGTCCTAACTTTGAATACCGCAGCTTATATGATCAATTAATAAACAATAACGAAAGCAGTAAATCAACACCAGGATGATCACGGAGAAACCCAACTGAGAAAAACTCCGGGCACTTTACCAGGCAACACTATAAACAATTCAAACAACTTACAGTCTTTCAGACTAGACGACCCTTGCTATCTGATCTCTTGACTACACTCCTTACAGCTCTCCCCGGATCCCGTGCTCCCCTACACCAATTCTTAGCTGCTGTTGCCAAAACTCTCCGTGGAATTTGCTACCCTGCAGGACTCCTAGCCTTATGGAATCTTCTATTTCTCGTGAATCAACAAAGAACACCGCGTTCTTCACAGACTGGAACTCCGGTCAAACTCTCTATCTTTAGAACTCTGACTAGATGTAGAGAAAAGATAGTTTTGTATTTGGATTATAGAAACGATGTTTTTCTCACCAAATCAATCAACGTAGATAAATGTTGAAAGATATAATTAAATGAATCTCTCACAGATGTAGCTCTTTCAATGTTCAACCTCCCCAATTTTCGTACAGAAGTGTTTTGGTATATATATGTAGGTTAGAAAAACGAATTGGCCGAGTAAAAAGGTTTTAAATCGTGAAATAAAAATTTCTCGGATAAACACTTCGCTCGACCGAAGGCTCAACGAAGGTCGAGCGACATTCCAGCGACAATATTTCTGCTTTTGTAGCTCGAGCAAAACCTTGGCGACAGTCTAGCTAAAATCCGTGTCGTTTTCTTCTTTTTGGCCATTCTCGAACCCCCATACCTAATAACCTTATTTTCAACTATTTGCACATTATTCCTTGACTTTTTAAATATAGTACAATTCAATCATTTTGTTTACAGAATCGCCAATTACAAAACATCTAAAATCTAACACAAATTAAAGTCAAACAATCAATATTAACCACATTTTTCCTAGATCCTACAACTTTTCAACCACACATTTCAAAAACTTATATCACAATCTACTAAAATCTAATTTTAATCTCCACCAAACACCCACTAAGTAAAATATGAATGTAGTTTTCATATTCAACCAGTATTAAGCAACTGTCATTTGCTAAGAAGCATGGAAATGAGTAAATTTATTGCATATATTTGCTCCTATGTAGTCCTACAGCTCATAGCCCATCTTACCACTACAGCCTTATATGCATGTATCTGCGTATCCTAAGTTTGTTTAAAAAGTGTATTGACATTTTGGATATAAACACTTTTATATATAATTGATGCATATTTATGGTAAAATTTATTATTTAATTGAATTAATGTTCTAATAAATTAAATAATAGAATCTATAAATTCAAGTCGTTGTAATTTTTTAATCACAATGAATTGTGATTGTGAGATATAATTTACATATGACTAAATTTTAAATCATCCGTGATCGTAAGTAATAACGAGATACGAATATCATTATTACGGATAGACTATCACGTGTGGCATTTCTTACTTGTGAAGTGAGTAGCTGATCTCACTACAAGAAAAAAGGCATTTTATAACATGCAAAAGGCAACATTCATCAATTGCATATTGCTAAAAGAGATCTATGGCAACATTCAGCAAGTGCATGTTGCGATTGATTGACAAAAAAGACTTTTGACAACGTTTTTTTAAAGAATGTTGCTAATACACTCTTTTGCAGCGTTCAAAATCCGTTGCTGTTAATTTTCTTTTTGTAACGTGCAATGCACGTTGCTGTTAATGTTTTAGCAACGTGCAATGCGCGTTGCCGTTAATTACTTTTAGCAACATGCAACGCGCGTTGCTATTGAATGTTTTAGCAACGCGCGTTAGAACGTTGTCATTAACCTTTACTCAACGTTCATTGCACGTTGTCGTTTATTCTTTTAGCAACCTGCGTTTGAACGTTGTCATTAACCTTTTTCGCAACATTCATTACATGTTGTCATTTGGTATAGCAATTTAACCGGTCTAACCCACTGACTAAAATATAAACCCTAATCATGCAACCCCTACTCTTCTCCTCCACACACACAAATGAAATCCCATTCAGCAGCCTCTCTTCTTCTCGCTTTCTCTCTAGGGATTTCTGTGGAAGGGGGGCGCGGATTGATAAAGATCAATGGCGTCCCAATCGAGCTGGTCCAGTAGGAGATCCTCCGTTACAAGGTGGTGAGGGAAATTAGAAACAATCAATCAAAAATCCCATTTTCGTTCTTCGGAAGAAAGAAATTGATCTGCAGTGAGAGAGAAAAAATGGCCTTCGAAAACCTGCACATCAAAGAGCCCGAGGCGGGAGCTAAGGCTGAGCACTCGAAGCTTGCTGATGGGTATTGATACTGGTGGGTATCGCGAATTTCTTCTTTTAGCTGATTTTGTGTCTGTTTGATAATTTTAGGGTTTTCTGGAATGCGAAAATTGAAGGGCCAAGTGCAGTACCTCATAAAAAGGTGAGTGGTTTAGATACATTCTTCACATATGTATATGAAAGGGTAGATGCAGTTTTCTCTGCAACTCTTGGTATTAGTGAGTTTTGCTTTGATCGAACTTACAGAAGCTAACTTTAACCTCACTGTAATGCCCTTATTTTTCATTCCTTTGTAAATATGAGGGAGAAAGCTGTATATCTAATTCTGGTTCCAATTTCAGTATTTCTGGTATTGAGAGCTTAGGGGTAAAGAATGCTCATCAAGGCTCTACATCTTGTGTTTTGAGTGTGCTTCGAAGTTATGCGTTTTTTCTTTCAGAAAATCTATTTTTGTCCACTATGTGGTAGTTGATTAGCAAGATTTGCAGTTTTTGAATCTTTCGTTTGAAAGATGTATTTTTGCAATGTAGAATTAATAAATGATGCTGCATGTAGAATCACTGAATTGATAAGCATGTTTTGTTCTGCTTAAATCTTTTCAGACTGAGGAAGCCTTAATTGATGATCTAATGGAGCTGGTGGGGCAAATTGTTGCTTTCCATATGAAGGTAAAATTGTTTTCCTTGTGTTTTATTTGGATAAATATATATTACTTTAAACTGATGCATGACAGAGCACGACTTGGTAAGTAAACCACGTAGTTAAATAGAGCATTATATCCATTTTTTACATTATGGATTTTAAGGTATTCAGCATGTCATTTTCTTCATCAAGTATTCAGGATTAGTAGTCTACATTCATTTCTCAGCTTACTGTTTTTTGCCTTTTAGATTTAGAATTATAATGCTCTCTCTTCGCCTTAAGACAAGGTAGATTATCATTTGATATTATGATGATTTTGTCAAACAGTGATTACACAGTTACATTGTTATTCTTAGCATCTTTTCTTTTTCCTAATGTCAAATAGTTAGAAAATTCCATTTATTTGATTACAATAAAAGAGAACATATACTTTTAAGATTGAATGATAAATTGAGTTGCACTTGTGATCCATGCAAAATTGTGAGAAGGGGCATTTTTTGTTCCATGGCTCAGAAAATTGGAAGTTTCTCTGCTAAAGTTATTTTAGTTCTAATGGAAACATGATGAAGTGTATATATTATTAATTGTGTGCAGGTTATTAATTTATTTGCTTCATGATCAAGGTCTATTTCTTGGCCAATGGACGTGAGAAGAAATTCCCTATTTCTTGGTATATATTTTGCTATGTTTTGCTAATATCTTGTGCTATAATTTAAACTCTTAGATTATATATATATATATATATATGAAGAGGGAGAAAATACTCTTAGAATTAAAGGGAAGCTAGAAACATATGTGGTGTCACTTTTAGCAATTACTGAAGCAGGTAGGCTTTGACTTGGAAGTAGTTGTCTAATTTGATGGTTCATGGACACTACAAAATCAAGCCTTTTTCGATCTTACGTGTTG